ACAATACAAAAAGAGGGAATCCTTCTCAAATCATTTTATAAGACCAACATCATCCTGATACCAAAACCTGACAAACAACAAAAAAAGAAAACTTCAGGCCATGATGAACATAGATGCAAAAATCTTCAATAAAATACTGGCAAAACGATTGCAACAGCACATCAAAAAGCTTATCCATCATGATCAAGTGGGCTTCATCCTGGGTATGCAAGGCTGGTTCAACATATGCAAGTCTATAAATGTAATCCACTACATAAACAGAACCAAAGACAAAAACCACATGATTACCTCAATAGATGCAGAGACGGCCTTTGACAAAATTCAACAGCCCTTTATGCTAAAAGCTCTCAATAAACTAGGTATTGATGGAATGTATCTCAAAATAATAAAAGCTATTTATGACAAACCCACAGCCAATATCATACTATATGGGCAAAAACTGGAAGCGTTCCCTTTGAAATCTGGCACTAGACAAGGATGCCCTCTCTCACCACTCCTATTCCATATAGTATTGGAAGTTCTAGCTGGAGCAATCAGGCAAGAAAAAGAAATAAAAAGTATTCGAGTAGGAAAGGAGGAAGTCAAATTGTCTCTATTTGCAGATGGCATAATTGTATATTTAGAAGACATCATCATCTTGGCCCAAAATCTCCTTGAACTGATCAACAACTTCAGCAAAGTCTCAGGATACAAAATCAATCTGTACAGAAATCACAAGCATTCCTATACACCAATAACAGACTAACAGAGGGCCAAATCAAGAACAAACTGCCGTTCACAATTGCTACAAAGAAAATAAAATACCTAGGAATACAACTAACAAAGGATGTAAAGGACCTCTTCAAGGAGAACTACAAACCACTCTTCAAGGAAATAAGAGAGGACACAAGCAGATGGAGAAACATTCCATGCTTATGGTTAGGAAGAACCAATATTGTGAAAATGGCCATACTGCCCAAAGGAATTTATAGATTCAATGCTCTCCTCATCAAGCTACCTATGACCCCCTTCACTGAACTGAAAAAAAAACCACCTTAAACTTCATATGGAACTGAAAGAGAGCCCACATAGCCAAGAAAATCCTAAACAAAAAGAACAAGGCTAGAGGCATCACGCTACCTGACTTCAAACTATACTACAAGGTTACAGTAATCAGAACAGCACAGTACTGGTACCAAAACAGAGATACAGACCAATGGAACAGAACAGACACCTCAAAGCAACACCACACATCTGTAACCATCTGATCTTCGACAAACCTGACAAAAACAAGCAATGGGGAAAGGATTCCCTGTTTAATAAATGGTGTTGGGAAAACTGGCTAGTCATGTGCAGAAAACAGAAACTAGACCCCTTCCTGAATTTAGACCTTACACTAAAATTAACTTCAGATGGATTGAAGACTTAAACATAAGACCAAACACCATAAAAACCCTAGAAGAAAACCTAAGGCAATACTATTCAGGACATAGGCATAGACAAGGACTTCATGACTAAACCACCAAAAGCATTAGCAACAAAAGCCAAAATAGACAAATGGGACCCAATTAAACTCCAGAACTTCTGTACAGCCAAAGAAACAATCATTAGAGTGAACCAGCAACCAACAGAATGGGGAAAAATTTTTTGCAATCTACCCATCTGACAAAGGGCTAATATCTAGAATTCACAAAGAAATATAACAGATTTACAAGAGAAAAAAAAAACTCATTCAAAAGCAGGCAAAGGACATGAACAGACAGTTTACAAAATAAAATATACGAAGTCAATAAGCATGCAAAAATGCTCATCATCACTGGTCATAAGAGAAATGCAAATCAAAACCACATTGAGATACCATCTCACACCAGTTAGAATGGCAATCATTAAAAAATCTGGAGACAACAGATGCTGGAAAGGACGACGAGAAATAGGAACACTTTTACACTGTTGGTGGGAGTGTAAATTAGTTCATCCATTGTGGAAGACAGTGTGGCGATTCCTCAAGGACCTAGAAATAGAAATTCCATTTGATCCAGCAATCCCATTACTGGGTATGTATCCAAAGGCTTATAAATCATTCTATTATAAAGACACATGCACATGTATATCCAATCCCATTATTGGGTATATATCCAAAGGATTATAAATCATTCTATTATAAAGACACATGCATATGTATGTTCAATAGCAAAGACCTGGAACCAACCCAAATGCCCATCAATGATGGACTGGACAAGGAAAATGTGACAGATATACACCATGGAATACTATGCAGCCATAAAAAATGGATGAGTTCATGTCCTTTGTAGGGACATGAATGAATCTGGAAACCATCATTCTCAGCAAACTGACACAAGAACAGAAAATCAAACACCACATGTCCTCACTCATAGGTGGGTGTTGAACAATGAGAACACATGGACACAGGGAGGGGAGCACCACACTCTGGGGTCTGTTGCGGGGGACTAGGGGAGGGACAGTGAGGGGTAGGGAGGTTGGGAAGGGATAACATGGGGAGAAATGCCAGATATAGGTGACAGGTGATGGAGGCAGCAAACCACATTGCCATGTATGCACCTATGCAATAATCCTGCATGATCTGCACATGTACCCCAGAACCTAAAGTACAATTATTTATATATATATAAATATATATAAATATATATAAATATATATATATATATTTAAAAAGAGAAAAGAAAAGAATGTGTATTCTGCTATTTTTGGGTGGAGTATTCCATAAATATCAGTCAGGTTGAGTTGGTTTGTAGAATTGCTTAAGTCTTCTATATCCTTACTGATTTTCAGTATACTTGTATTAATTGTTGAAAGTGGGGTATTTTATTTTTATTTTAAGTTGCTGGGTACATGTGCAGGTTTGTTACATAGGTAAACATGTGCCATGGGGGGTTGCTGCACCTGTCAAACCATCACCTAGGTTTTAAGCCCAGCATGTATTGACTATTTTTCTTAACATTCTCTCTCCCTCAATCCCACCTCCGACAGGCCCCAGTGTGTGTTGTTCTCTTCCCTGTGTCCATGTGTTCTCATTGTTCAGCTCATACTTATAAGTGAGAACATTCAGTGTCTGTTTTTCTGTTCCTATGTTAGTTTGCTGAGAATAATGTCTTCCAGCTCCATTGATGTCCTTGCAAAGGACGTGATCTTGTTCCTTTTTGTGGTGAAATAGTGATATTTAAATATTTAACTACAATTATTATCTATTTCACCTTACAGTTCTTCAGTTTTTGCTTAAAATATTTTAAAGCTCTGTTATTGGGAACACAAATGGTTAGGACTATTACGTCCTCTTGATGAACTGACACGTTATTATTATGAAATAGCCATCCTTTCTCCTAGCAATGTTCCTGGCTATGTAATCTACTTTGTCAGATATCAATATAATCACTCCAGATTTATTTTAGTTAGCGTTAACTAGAACATCTTTTTCCATCCTTTTACATTAACCTTACTTGTATTTTCATATTTAAATGTTTTTCTTGTAGGCAGCATATATGAGTCTTCCTTTTGACAATCTTTACCTTTTAATTAAGATATTTAGATAATTAATAATTAATGAACATTAACCAGTATAGTTGGGTTTAAATCTGCCATCTTGCTATTTGTTCTCTATTTGTTTTATCTAATTGTTTCCTTCCTCTCTTTTTATGCCTTCTTTTGGATTAATAGTTTTGGGGTTTTTTTTTTTTTTTTTTTTTTACAATTTCATTTCATCTCTATAGGCTTTTGAACTACAGCTCTTTGTGTTATTTAGGAGGTTGCTTTAGAGTACACATCCTTACTTCATTACAGTCTTTCTTAAGATAACATTATACCATTTGACATATAGCAACAGAACCTTACAACAATATCCTGCCATTTCTCTTCTACCTGCCTTTGTGCTAGTTATGTGATACATTTTATTTCTACATGTTACAAACCTCACAACACATTAATATTTTTGCTTTAAACACGTCTTCCTCTCAGCAGGCATATTTCCAGCAAGCTTCTTTCTGTTCTCTTGCTAGAAATTTGTCTAAAATAAGAACAAATAGGATCTGAGATCATAAGGTTCCATAATCTTTACTGTATGGTCTGTGCTCTGAAGCTCTTTCCCCATTGCTTCCTGATTGTTAGTTGTGAATTTGCTGGATAGATCACCTTCAAATATAAGTGAATTGTTATTTTATAAAGAAAGCAGATAAAATCCAAACCGTGATTGAAAAAGAGAATTTGAAACAATTCAGTAATGAAAAAGAGACCCGAATAGTAGACTGTTATCAACTAAATTAAGGAGATAGCTGGGGAAAATCCTTCACGGAAAGGGAGGTGGGTACTCTGTATTTGTTTATTGTAGAACTAGAAGGCCAACCAAAAGTTGCCTCTTTTTCCCCTTTTAGGAACTGGTCTAAAATATTCTCTCACTTAATGAGGTATTTCTCCTTTCCAAAAGTCAGATGCGGTCGAGGTATTTTGTATTTTCTTTAGCCAGCAGTTTTAGGTGTAGAAAATCCTTTCCCATCTTAAAAAAAAAAAAAAAAAAAAAAAAAAAAAACTTCTTGAAATATGGATAGTAGCATGAATTCTAGAATATCGTAATGCCTTTTATTGTATTCAAATATAGGATAAAACATACTGCGACAGGAAGAAGGGAGCAGGCTACAGAGGAGAAATTCTGAACCTGGTTAATGTGCACAGAGGATTTTAATTTAATCCTTGTTTGTACACCAACGGAGCGTTTAACTCCCTCTCTCCAGCAACTTCTGTCTGCAGTACTTCATGTTAAGGCACACTTTCTATTTCTACTCTAAATCTGTTAACTAGAATTCTATTTCTAATTCGATTTCTGCTTTCTAATCAAGGGCGCAATACAATTGTCCATTTCTCAAATCCCTCCTCCTCCCCACCTCTGGTTCTCTTGGCCCTCCACGTTCCTGTTCAAATGAGTTCTAAAATGCCTCAGCCTAGAGTTTCGTTAAGGGAAGCTCGCTGAGGGCGGCGGTCTCTGGGTGTCCACTTCCGCCTCCCCAGTCATTTAGGACAATATCCTAAGTCGAAGCTAGAGATGCGTGGTCCGTTTGGTGACTTTTCCTGGGTTCTCGCTTAAGCAGAGCCACAGGTTACGGGGCGACCAGGCCTCTGTGGAAGGGCAGGTGCCTCGGTGCGCGCGCGCGAGCAGCCGGCAGCCAAAGCCACCTGCTTACAGGGCCCCAGCACCTCTGCGGGGAGTCGGAGGACTCGCGTGCAATCGCGCAGGTGCCCCCAGGCGAGGGGGAAAGCATCGGAGGAGACGCAGAGCTGGAGCGAGGTCACCGTGTTCTCGCAGCGACCTGGGTTACCTCAGCCCGCGGGGCTGGAAGGCCCCCCGCCCGCGAGCGCTTGCGACCCTGCGGAGCCCGCCGCCCACGCCGCGCTGAGGACGCTGCCCAAGCCGGGCGCCCGCCCCCCGCCCACGACTTCAGCGGCTCGCAGCGCGCCGCCCCCAGACGCGCTTGGCTGCCGGCGAAGGCTGAGACCGCGCTCCCGCCGGCCAGTTCCCAACAGTAGCAACAGCAGCAACAGCGCTTCCTCCCCTCTTCGCGCCTTCGCTCCGGACTCGCGTCGTCCAAGCCCCACGGTGATGAGCCCCGAGCCTGTCCCGCCGCCGCCGCCCCAGTGCTCCGGCTGCGACCGCGCGGAGCCGATAGCCCAGCGCTTGACGGAGGGCGACGAGGCCTTCAGCGCGGGCGAGTACGAGATGGCAGCCGAGCTCTTCCGCTCTTTGCTGGCCGGGCTGGCGCAACCGGACCGCGGCCTGTGCCTGAGGCTGGGGGACGCGCTGGTGCGCGCCGGCCGCCTCCCCGAGGCCCTGGGCGCGTTCCGCGGCGCTGCGCGGCTCGGGGCGCTGCGGCCGGAGGAACTGGAGGAGCTGGCGGGCGGCCTGGTGCGCGCCGTAGACCTGCGCGAGCGGCCGCTGTCCGCGGAGAACCCGGGCTGCGAGCCGGAGGCGCCTGCGGAGGGAGGGCCGGCCTCGGCGCCTCGCACGCCCCGCGACCTCCTCGGCTGCCCGCGCTGCCGGCGGCTGCTGTACCGGCCGGTGACGCTGCCCTGCGGGCTCACGGTCTGCAAGCGCTGTGTGGAGCCGGGGCCCGCGCGGCCGCAGGCGCGGCGCGTGAACGTGGTGCTGTGCGGCCTGCTGGAGAGGTGCTTCCCGGCTGAGTGCAGGGTGCGCAGGCTGGCGGGCCTGGCGCGGAGCCTGCAGCGTCAGCAGCAGCCCGAGGCCGCGCTGCTCAGGTGCGACCAGGCCCTGGAGCTGGGTGAGTCGGCGATGGGGCGGGCCCGCCTCCCCCACACCTGTCGGGCCCAGCAGCGGAGTGGGGAGCTGACTGGTGGAGGCGACAGGCTTTGAGCTTTCGCGCGCTTTGTCCAAGCTTAGGGGTCGCTTCGCTTCTTAACTATGGGAAAGTGAAAGGTGGGGCGGCCACACCGTGCCGCGATGGTGGTCGCTGTCAGAGGCCACGTGCACCCCACTGGGTTTGTCTTTTCCAGGATGTTGATAAGTTTCCCGCGGTCCCCGGAGCAGCTCAGTAAGGACCTGTAGGCCTTTCTTTCAGCCCTTCCTGTGCTGTTGGGGAGTGGGAGGATGACGAGATATTTTTGCCCATCCTGAAGGAAAATGCACATAGCTGACACACTGGAGGCGCCAAACGGGGTGCCTTGTGCTGGGGCAGGATTTGCTTTGGGTTTCACCTAGTACAGCCAGGAAGGAACCCCTTCCACTCTACTGTCATCCTGTCACATGCTCCGGCCCCAGACTGCTCTCTGTCTCCAAGGCCATCATTCGATGTCATAGCGTATTTAACTTACTAGATAGTTAGACTGACTAGTGTGTGTCGTTTTTAATTATTCATTCACTCTTATTTATCTTAGGCCTAAGGCCAGCAACAGACATTCTCCTGCCTTCACCCAACCACCACCTGTTAATGGCATTAAACTAAAAAGAAGACCAAACTTCTGTCGTCGTTTTAACTCTGACATATGAGTATGCGCTCTATTAGCAGTTGTTTTTGGCAGTGTGAGGAGAACGGTTTGCTTTCTGGTTTCACTGGTTTTATAACATAGGGTATATGTGATTTAAAGCACTAGCCAAGAAGACTTGTTGAATCTCTTGTTCCTAAAAGAATCTTCTAGCATGCTACAGGCAATATGCATTGTATTTTAAAGTTAAGGTTAAGGTTTTCTCTTTTAGGAGGCATAGATTACAAAATGACTAACGTTCAATTTTGTCTTGCAAAAAAAAAAAAATGATCCGGTAATTGAGCAAGTGTTCAATGTCTGTATCTAACTGGGATATTCTCTGCTGGAACAGCCCACTAAACTCAGCTTAAGTAACAAGTATTCTGGTTTTTGCAACCAACATATCCATACTTTAGCAGGCATATTTTTTAGTTTTCTACTAATTTAGGTATTGATGGTGTTAGAGCAGCACTATCCAATAGAACTATTGTGGAAGCCACACATAATTCGAAATTTTCTTATAGCTACATTATAAAGGAGGGAAAAAAGCAGATGAAATTTATTTTAGCAATTTTTAACCCTATGCATCCAAAATATTATTTCAGCATGCCTTCAGTCTCAAAATATAATTGAGATTTTACTTTTTTTTAAACTAAACCTTTGAAATTCACTATATCTTTTGCATTCACTGCACTACCTAATTCCAACACCAAATTTTCATTGGAAATAACTTCATCTATATTTAGATGTTGGACAAGATGTAGAAAAATGAAAACTGCAATATTCATATGCTGCTGATGGGACTGCAAGTTATACCCCTGAAAATTAGTTGGTAGTAGCTACAGATGTTAAGCTTATCCTTGGCTAAATCGTTTCAAAGAGGTATATGCATATGTGCCCCCGAAAAATGTGCAAGTAGGTCTAAGAGTGTATATCATTGTTAGAGATACCCCAAAAGTTCAAACAACCCAAATGTGCAGTAAGAGCTGAAGGAGTGAATATGTGATTGTGTCGTCTTAGCATACTATACAGAAAGAAAATAAACCAATTACAGTTACAAACTACAGTGTGGACCGATCTCACAAACATAATGTTAAGGGAAAGAAGTCAGACTCAGTCGTTTTTACTATATGATCCTATTTATCTGTAAGTCCAAACAGACAAAATTACTATAGTATGTTAGAAGTAAGGACAGTGGTTACCTTGGGTGGATAAAAAGGGAGTAGTGATTGTGAGGAAGTATAAGAGGGATCTGTGGGGTCGTGGTGATGTTCTGTTTCTTGACTTAGAGGATGGTTACACAAGTGTGTTCACTTCGCAATAGTTCATTGAATTATATGCTTATATTTTTAGCTTTTCTGTGTATGTATTAGACCTAATTTAAATATGTTTTTAAAATAGACTATTTCAGTTAATTCATATGAGAACTTATATAGAATCTACTCAATATATTCATTATTCAAAGGTTAATTTAAAATTTTATAAAAACATTTAGTTTCAAAATAAATTAGCTCCAAAAGAGGTTTTGTTGTAGTAAAAAATACATAATAAAAGTTCAAAAATGTTTGGAATCAAAAATACCTGTGTTTAGATCCAAGCTCTGACTTTTTGTTTTTTTTTTTTCTTTTTTAATTGAGACAGGGTCTCGCTCTGTCACCCAGGCTGGAGTGCAGTGTCAGGATCTCAACTCACTGCAACCTTTGCCTCCTGGGTTCAAGGGCGATTCTCGTGCTTCAGCTTCTCAAGTAGCTGGGAGTATAGGCATGCACCATCACACCTGGTAGTTTTTTTTTTGCATTTTTGGTAGAGATGAGTTTCACTATGTTGACTAGGCTGATTTCCAACTCCTGTCTTCACATGTCTGCCTGCACCAGCCTCCCAAAGTGCTGGGATTACAGGCATAAGCCACTGCACCTGACCTCTAATACTTATTTATGTGACCTTAGCCAAGTGTGGTAGTCATTAGTGCTGTTCTCCAAGTATGTATATCTCTATACCTTCCCCAAACAAGACAGGATTGTACTTCCTGGTCCACTTGTGGTTAGGTGGAGCCATGTGACTACTTTTGGCCAAAAAGTTATTAGTGGAATTTAAAATGACTAGTATGTGTGTTAAAAGAAGTAAATGAATGTATGAAAATATAAATCATTCAATAGACAGTTTTCTATAAAAAAGAACCAAATGGGTTTTCTGAAAATTCAAAATACAATATCTGAAGTTGAGAATTAATTAGATTTGTTACAAACCAGATGGGACACATCAGAAGTCTGAATGAGAAAACTCAGAAGCAAGTCAACAGAAAATATCCAAACTGGATCACAGAAAAAGAATAAAAGAGAGCATGAGAGTTATGTGAGACACAGACAAAACTTCCCACAACTATGAAATTGGAATCCTAGAAGAAGAGAGAAAGGAAGGGCAAGAGAGATATTTAAAGAAAAGAGTAATTGAGAATTTTCCAAATCTGATGAGAAACTTTAAATCACTGAATCAAAAAGTTCACTAAGCCCAATAGGGTGGACACAAGTTGGACACAGTGCATACAGAAACATATACACAAAACCCATCCAAATACAGTCAAGTTCCTGAAAATCAAAGATAAAGAGAATTTAAATGCAGTTAGAGAAGACAGGACATACTTCCTTCAAAGGGATCATAGCAAGACTGACAGTTGGCTTTTAAACAAAATTATTAAAGCTAGAAGACAAGGGAATAATGTCTTTAAAGTGCTGAAAGACAAAAACCTAGCTGGAATTCTTTACCCAGCTGGAAATATTTTTCACAAATGAAGACAAAATCAAGGTGCTTTAAACCAAATAAATAAATCAAGTGAAATGATTTTATTGCCATCAGAATTGCATGTCATGATATACTGAGGGGAAGTCTTCAGGCTAAAGGAAAATTATCCATATGGAAGCATGGAACTAATGGACAGAGTAAAGAGTGCTAGAAGGTGTAACAATATAAGACAATATTGACTGTTTCAAGTAACAATATTAATGTCTTGTAGTGTTTGTAACAGACATAAAAATGAAAGATATGGCAATAGTACAAAGTCAGAATGGGTAAATACAGTTAAATTGTTGTATGGTTTGTACACTTTTTTGGAGGTAGTAAAAGTACTCATTTAATAAAAGCAGACTGCTAAATCAGGTTTGTATATTCTACTCTCTTGGGTTACCACCAACAGGACAATGAAAGAAGGTAAAATTAAAAAGCTATAGTGGAATAGCAAAGTAATACTTGATTAATCCAAAAGAAAATGAGAGGGAAGAATAGAGCAGCAGAAAATGAATGGGACAACTAGAAAAGAAATAGAAAAATGGGGATTTAATTTACATTAAGTGTGAATACCTGAATTTTCCCTTTAAAAACTAAATGTTAGCAGACTGTATTAAGTGAAGTATAGCTACATGCTGTTTACATATGAGGTAAACTTTCTAGATGTAAGAACACAAAAAAAGGTTAAAATTAGTAGGATGGCAACTCATACTATACAAAGATTGACCAAAAAAAAACGCCTGATAGGGCAAAATGACTATTCTTTAAGGCAAGGACTATCAGAAGAAATAAAAACACTTATGATGAATGGGTCAGTTCAACAGAAAAAAAGGTAATAATATTCCTAAATTGTTATGTACCTAACAACAGGTATACACACACACATGCAGAGAGAACAAAAGGAGACAAAAATAAAAGGGGAAATAATTGGAGATTTTGAACAAAACTTAAAATAGGTAAGGATATAAATACAACATACTTCAGCACTTTGATTTAATTAATGTGTGTCACTACATACAACCATTGCAAAAATACCAACCATTTAGGCTCCCATGACCATAGGCAGGGCACTGGAGTTGGCCTTTGGTTGTGTTTGCCAACTCCTGGGTTAGGCCATGAAAGAAGTTGAAATAAATATTGAAATCAGTATATGTTCTTTAAACACTGTGGGCTTAAGCTAAAATTAAATAGCAGATAAACAGAATATCTTCAAATATTTGGAAATTAAGCAACATTTTTATCTAATGATGGATAAAATGAATCACAAAAATTGGAAAATTTTCTGATTAGAAATTTTTCTGATTTAGCTGAATGATAATGAAAATACAAATATCAAACACTATGGGATGCAATGCAACAGTACTTAAGAGGGAAACTTACTGTTTTAAGTGCCTGTACTACAAAAGAATAGCTGATAGTCAGTAATCTCTAGGCTTCCTTTTCAAGAGGCTAGAAAAAGAAAAGCAAATAGAATCCAAAGAGGATAGAAAGAAGAAAAAAAGGAGTCAACATCTATAAA